CAATCACCAATTAACCTCAGCATGTTTCTGGACTGTGGGAGGAAGCCGGAGAACCCGGAGAGAACCCACGCTGCACGGGGAGAACATGCAAACTCCTATATATATATTACATGTATCTCATTGCATTAATACTCTTTACACTGTTCATACCGTTCATTCCACCATTTATCTCTCCCTGTAGATTTACATCATCTATGTTATCCATACATCTGTGTGTTCGTGGTGCTCTGTCCAAACTGTTAAACACTGCTGGTCAGAGGCCTAACTGCATCTTGTGTTCTGTGCAATGCCAATAAAACTGAATCTAATCTAATAAAGTTGAATCTAATTTGCACTGAAGCTCACACAGTGTGCAGAACTAAGACAATCTAATTCTATTGACACTTTAACTCTTTAACTTATTTGCCAGACAGACAAGAAGTTGATCAAACTGAGCGTATTTTGTGTGTCTTTATACTCCTGATTAAAAATAAAAAATAAAAAAAACCTGCTTTCCTTCTGGCTGTTCTTTGTGCCCACCGTCCATCAGTGTCCAGGAGATCCACCAGGCTTTGTCCATGAACACTTCATCCACTGTGTGCACCTTCAGCAAACATCTTCTGCTTTCACTGCTCACCTCTGCGTCCACCAACCTCTTCTGTGGAGAGAAGCAGAGGATAGTAAAGGTGTCATCTGTGCCATCGACTGCATGGCTGAATAATAAAACCACCTTTAGGGATGAACTTCAGTGAGCTGCTGAAGACTCAGAAACGTGACAGTCCTTCTCTCGGTCCGTCGTACAAGAACTCGTGGCCCAGTCCGTTGCCACACTTCCCACAACAGATCTAAGACAAGAGCAAAGCTCAGCATCCACAGATCTCAAGAAGCCCAGACACGGTGCTGTGATCTACCTTTATGGGTCCCCAGGCTTCAGGCTGTCTGGAGACACTGTCCTTGTGGAGCGTCTCTGAGAAGGCCGGCCACGGAGAAGAGTGCTCAAACTTGGACGAGCTTGAAAACAGCTGGTGGCCACATTCAGAACACACATACACACCTGAGAACAGAAGAACTCGTCAGCAGTGGGTTTGGTGTCTGCTTCACACGCAGCCTCGTGCTTTGTTTTCCACTCACCAGGCTGGAAGTGATTCTTGTATTCTTCTCCACCAGAAAAACAGCAGTAAGACATTTCATCCATGTCAGACGCCTCAGTGCCTGAAAACCAGCAGCACTGTGTGACCCGGCTTCAGCCAAAAAAAACCTGCAGCTCCAGATCAGGTGACAACTGTTGCTCTTGTGTAACGCTGAGCTCACTGCTGCCACCTAGTGGCAAAACCTCAGTAGTGGACAGTGCATGTACTCAAGTACTGCACTCAAATACAACTTTAAAGAGCTTGTACTTGTACTAAGCTACTATATGCTTCCACTCAACTATGTTTCAGAGGGAAATTTTGTACTTTTTACTCCTTTATCTTATATCTGACAGCATGAGGTACTTTTAGAATAAAGATTTTACAAACTGGACAATATAAAAAACTTTCAAAATACAACACACTAAATTAAACCAGCTTTTCATCCTTTTGGCTTCGTACAAAATGCAGTGTGTAGTCAGGGTCACAGTGATTCTTCCTTCTGAACTTCTCACATCAAATTCAACAAACGCCCAATTTATCGATCCAGCATGTCACCAAACACAGAAGATTAGAGAAAAAGTAATAAAAACTAATAACTGAGTTGTGCACAGGACTTTGCTTTTTCCTCTTTGCTCTCCTAACAATCATCCGCCAGAATGTGAAGTTTATCTGCTGTTGTTTTATATAAAACTGTATATAAAATAGATCAAACCAGCTCCACCTGCCGCTGCTGCAACAACATGCTACTGACACATTAATCATTTAATTATGTCAAAAATAATAAATAAAACAGAGGAAACCAGCACTTCTACATGAAGACATGAACCACACTCTGCTGCAAATATCTGCGCACTTTTACTTGTAGTATTATTACATTGCCATGTTGGTAGTTTTACTCCAGGATCTGATTCCTTCTCCCACCACTGATTTCATCGTGTACAAGTCTGACGACATTTTTATCACATATATGAACAATTTTATAGACATCAAGTAATAATCAAAGTGTTTAAAGAAATTAACATTTTTTGTATTTAAAATATATTTATTAGATTTCTTTGCCATCCATTTAAATATAATTCCCCGGCATATTACATCAGCGTGTTTTAATTTAATGAAACTAACACATATTTATTGCTCCGTATTTTCAGCTTCAAGCACATCAAAACACTGCAGCTTGTGGCCGTAGGTTGTTAAAAAACATCCTGAGAAATCTGTTTGAAAGGTTGACATGTTGCTAGATTCAGTTTTGCTTCAGGAAGGTGGTTGAAAACGGGAAACCCAGCAAGGAGCAGCAGACAGAAGCACAGGAAGTCTATTCGTCCAATTGTTCAGCGTGAATCTGAGGAATTAATGATTGTGTGATCAGTGAGTTTACTGCGTCTGTTGCATAATCACGTTGTCGTGGTCAGTCCTCTGTTCTTGCTGTGCAGTGAGGTCACCACTCATCAGAGTTCTGGTTCTCCCAGACCGGGCTTTGTCCCAGAACCCTTCACTGACTGTCCACACCGTCAGCAGCACAGAGACTCCTCTAGTCCAGCAGCACGTCTCTCCCAAAGCTCACCTTACTGTCCATCGACCTTATCTGTGGAGAAGACGAGACGAAGATGAGCTGCAGGAATATTCTGCTGAGTCAGAGGATGGAATCTGCTGCCAGGTTGTCATCTTTAATCTTTAACAGTAAAATGTGTATTTCTGGTTAATATTGTTTGATGCACATAAATGTATGTGTTTTACTTAATCTACTGATGTCGGCAGAATATCTGTATTACTCTATTCTATATCATAAAGAAAAACATTGAAACGTGCTGTTATAGTGCATTTAAAGAGAAAAGTAAGTGTCCTGGAAGATGCACTGCTACACTCAGGTTCTCTGTTCTCAGTGGACACGTCCAACATGCAGTAAGTGGATCCCTGGAGCCCATAAAACACAAAGAGAAGCTGCAACCTCGCGCTGTGCTAAAACCTGACCGGTTGTACCTTTAGGGATGAACTTCAGTGAGCTGCTGAATATTCAGAAGCGAGACACGCCTTTGGACGGCCCGTCATTCACAAACTCGTGGCCCAGTCCATTTCCACACTTCCCACAGTGCACCTGCAAACAAGACAACACGCATCTTACTGTGAGAGCGATTTGTCGGCACTGTTTCCATATTTCTATTATTATTTCTATTTTATTTTATTCTGTTTTTATTTTATCTTTTTGCATTCTTTGCACAAACACCTTCGCTCTGGATCTGGGAAACGCTGTCTCATTTCACTGGGTACTGTACAGCTGTATGTGGCTGAAATGACAATAAAGCCCTTTGAATCTTGAATCTCTTGAGTCGTGAACTTAGAGCATCCAGTAAGTTCTTCACAGGGACACGCTGATTCTAGCTGGTGATATACAGACAGGTGACAACTTAAAGGGAAGCTGGAACCCTTAAGCTCTGCAGAAAGCGATCAGGAGGCTCCGTTATGCTGCGGAGGGACTTTAGGCAAAGCGGCTCTGAGTGATCCCCTCTGTCCTGTGATGAAACATTTCTATCCTGATGTGAGCGGTCACTTCACAGCGCTTCCTTCCACAGGGTGCACGCCGTCTCTGGATGGTTTGATGGGAACGAAAATGGTGTAAATCTCACGCTACAGCCTTCACAGTCACTGGATCTCAACCAGACTGAACACCTTTGCATCAGCGTTTTAACTCTTCGTTACCATCTTCAAAGTACCACATGAGGGAATATCTTTTGGAACAACGGGGGTCCGTCCCTCCAGCAGAGCTCCACAGATGTGAGAATCAATATCAGGGTGCATTAAAGCGGTTTTGGTACCATATGGTGGCCCAACACCTTACTAAGACGCTATATGCTGGATTTTCCTTCAGGCTGAGAAATGAAGAGAGGGCACTTTGACTGCAATTACAGCCGTGACTGGATAACCCGACACTAAACGTAAAACCATCTTCTATGTCGGATATCAAGGCTGTCGGATTGTCCAGACGGAGGTCCAGATACGAGGAGGGCTTGATGCTGGAAGGATCATTAGTTGTTCATTATTGTTCATAGTTGTTATAATAACTAGTAGGGCTGGTCCCAGTAGAACTTTCTGCTCTCTGGATGTTCAGGCCCAATAATGATGAATATCAGAACATTCTGTGCGGTCGGGGGACACTTCCACCCCGGGGCAGCGCTCTGACGGGGTGGAAGTGTCCAGAACACACAGGCAGTACTTGGCTGCTGATGCTAGTTTAGTTAGCGCTCACACTTCTGTTTCCTCCATCGGTGGCGGCGGGGGAGTGGCAGATACGCTCCACCGTTACCATCCATGTTTACTTCCATAAACACTGAGCACGCTCGCTGCGTGTGACGTCGTCGTGTCCTCTTCTGCGCATGCGGGACACTTTTGGCTCGTATGAAGTTCACACAGCAGATCACATACAAGTCGCATTGAAGTGGAAACGTGAAGGAAGTCACAAAGAAATCCTCATTGAGCATCAAGTCCTGCAGTGTGAACGTAGCCAATCTGTGGGATTGTTCAGTCAGATAATACGCCGTCATCCTGATTGGTGACATTAAATGTCATGTCGGAGTCACAATCCAAGGCTGTCGCTATGTTAAGGCTGTTTTTATGGGTTCTGTTGGTTTTTCCTAAAAACCTGTCAGATAGCAGGTTTAGGATTGTTAAGGGTCGATTATCGAGTCACGACTGTACTAAAAAAAAAATAAAAAAATGTGATAAAAGACCAGAGTAACACTTGTTGCCAGTACCTTGAAAGCTCCAGGTCTCTCCTCGTGTTTGGACACGCTGTCCTCGCGGATGGTCTCCGTGAAGGCCGGCCACGGGGACGAGTGTTCGTACTTGGAGCGGCTGGAGAACAGCTGGTGGTCACACTGGGAGCACACGTAACTCCCTGAAGAGAAAATAGTGACAAAAACTCATCAAACTACGATGTGTAACATGCACACAGAAACACAGAATCACATGAATGTAGTAAACAATCAGAAGGGATGTGAGGAGGGTCTGAGCTTTGATAGGAGTGTTTATTTGGATTTTATTTAAGTTATTGCATTCTGTGAGAAACTTTTGCTGCTCGAGGCTACAATGAACCCACGAATGGACCAAAGCGTGTTCAAGCATGTCAGAATAATGTCCAATAATTCAGTACATGTGGAATTCAAAAAACAGAATCCACCAGGAGATGGCTGCACAACATGAAGAATGAACTATTTCAAATTAAGACTGTAACCCAGCTCTAATCCTTTTTTGTACTTAATGCTGCCTCGTAATGCTTTAAGAATGTGTTGGGGTTTGTTTTTAATGAAAAGTCCAGCTACAGTCTCAGGTTTTTCCATTAATGATGGAGGACTTATTAATAATTAACGCAGGTGATCATGTTTGTGATCATCAAACTGCAAAAAACAAACCTGTTCTGTGGTATTAATGCTTCTGAATAAGGTGACGGTTAAAGGGTGTGTTTGGAAAAGTGAAGTCCAGCTTCTCAACTCATCTAGTTTATTGGTTCAGTTGTTGTTTAACCGGTTGTGTTGGAAAAGTTTATCAGCCCGCAGCTTTTTCCATTATTTCTGCCAACATCAACATTTACTCCACCAGAGCAGATGGAGAACTATTTTAATGTTAATATTTAACACAGATCTTAATCGTCCACCAGTCGGGTCAGTGTTGACCACTTTATTTATTTATTTATTTAATTCCCTATAAGCTGAAAAAGAAATGAGCCTGTTTTTGTGGTTAAATTCTTATAAATAATGCTGCTATGTATTGTTTTAAGGTTCTTAAACATGAACTGCAGCTTCTCGTTTGAAGCTCCGTCCACTTTGCTAACAGACTTGTTGTGTAACTGAACGACGCTTCTTACAAAACTTCACCAGCTAACAGCGAGTTAACACTTCCGTAACTAGTTTATTTATTATTATTATCATTATCAATAAAATATGTACAGTGTCATTTATCCCTACAGGTTTCTGCCTCCTACATGGAGTCTGGTGCATCCTACACGGAGTTTGAAAACTTATTTCGGCTACTTGGACAGTTAGCGAACAGCTAGCTAGTTTTCATGAACTTCCGCTACAAACAAAACGACACTCGTTACGGACACGTTTCAAATCAAGTATAAAAAGTCAAATTCATGCGAGTACCTGGTTTAAAATGGTCTTTAAAGACCTCCCCACCGGAGAACGAGCAGAAGGACATCTTTCTGTGCGTCGGACTGAGCACTTTAATCCGCCTCCTTGTTTAAAGACGCGAAGAAACAGTCCAAACCTTCAAAATAAAACCACACAAGGATTAAGTTTAGTATTTGTTCGTGTGGGTTTTTTTGTTTCTTTTTATTTTTATGTATGACTTCCGGCTGCTTATATGCCATATAAATAGAAACAGAATGGACTACTTCTAACTATATCAGACTTTTATTTTGTTCAGTCACCACTAATTAATAAAATAAAATACATCCTAGAAAAGTTATTATAAATGTAGTAACTTTTTTTTAAAAATGGCCTCCAGCATTTTATATGCACTAATAATAAAATAGTATCGACTCTCTAATAATACCTTTTATTTTTATTTAATTGATAAAAATCTGTATGTTCTGAATTGTTAATATAAATATATTATCCTGCCCTTGAACACGAGCATTGCTTAACTGATAACTTTATTTAATCTAAATGTAATAAATAGATAATCACTAAATTTACCACCTTAGAAATCAGGTCCCTCTCACTGTCTTTAAATTACTCAGTGGCCACTAAAATACCTGTTTTAAACCATTAAAAAATAGCTTTCCTTAGACTAAAGAGATGTTGCTGCAACAAGACCAGCGTACAAACTATGTTTTACTTTGTTGTTTTATCCCTTGTCACTGGTTAAATAACTTTCTACGCAGTTTGGTTGCTGTGCTGCTTTATTCCTCCTCCTCCGACAGCTCTTTGACTTTTATTCTGAAGGGCCGCACCAGCGGTGGTTTATTGGTTTCCGGCGGATCTCAGTGCGGCTGCTTGACACCTCTCCGCTCCGGTAGCTGAGTTTGTCCGGTGGTTCCTCCGCCGTCTCCTCAGACATGGACGCCACCATGTTCCAGCTGCGGTCGTTCGTCCACCAGCGGCTGTACGCGGCGGCGGAGGAGATCCTCGGGCAGGTGGAGAAGACCATCACGTTAGCTGTGTACGAAGCCGAAGTTGGTCGATCCAAAGAGGAGGCGGAAAGTCTGCGACACCCGCTGGGCCGCCTGCGGAACAGCCCAGGTTTGGGACGCTGCTTCAATGTGATGCTCGGTTGCGTTTTGGTGCACGAGTGTGGAGGTAGACGGAGGAGTAGCTTCATGCTGCTGTGTGTGTGTGGCTTCTCTCTCACGCATGCGCACACGGTCCACATAGCTGCTGCAACTGTTGTAGAAATATTTAAATACTTCATAGCTTCAGAGCACTTTTCCAGAAACTTCCAGAAGATGCAGAATTAGATTTTTCACATTTCGTATCTTCTACTTCTTCCATCTGTTGCTGCAGAACTTCCGCCGACCAGCACCGCTGTGGATCACGACACCACACCGCTGCACGAGAACCAGAGACCCTCCACACCAGAAGAGTCCACCTTGAGTCCCGAGCTCCCAGGACCTTCTAAATCTGCTGCAGATCTGGGCAGCGATGACTGGAGCTACTGCTCGGCTGAGACGGATCTGAAGATGTCCCAGATTAAAGAGGAGCAGGAGGAGCTCAGCGGTGAGAGTCAAACATCTGAGGTTAGTTTTCGACCTCCTGAACTTGTGAAAAGTGAGCAGCCGGAGACACAAGTGTCGTATGAAATGCAGCCGGTTTCTTCAGACTGTTCTGCAGCTCCGAGTGAGGGCAGCAATGAGGAGCCCAGCAAAGAAGAGGAGGCAGAGATGATGACACAGAAAGCGACGGTGTTGCGAGGAAGAAGCAGCAACAAGAACGGCCAAGCAGCTTACAAGAGTCATTCTGCTAAAGGCCCAAAAGATCGCAGCTTTTGCCATTTGTGCGGCAAAGGATTTCAGTACATTGGCTCGTTGATGAAGCACATAAAAACCCACGAGGGTAAAACCAACTGTAGCTTCTGTGGGACGACACACCAGTCCACCAAGGAGCTGGTCACTCACCTGAAAGGCTGTCACAGCAAAGCCTACTTCTGTGACATTTGTGGGAAGACTTTTTCCAATAAACGATGTCTCCGACTACATGAAAAAATACACACAGGCTTGAAGGAGTTTGTGTGCCAAGAATGCGGGAAGACGTTTCACCGCAGAGAGCATCTCATCGTGCACGTGAGGACTCATTCTGGGGAGAAACCGTATCACTGTGACATATGCGGGAAAGCGTTCAGTCAGAGCCAGAACCTCACCATTCACAAGAGAAGCCATTCGGGGGAGAGACCGTATCATTGTGACCTGTGCGGGAAGCTTTTCAACACGAGCAGCCACCTGAAGACACACATGAGGTACCACTCGGGAGAGAAACCGTACCCGTGTGACATCTGCGGGAAACGTTTTCGTCAGAGCGGACAGATGACGAGACACAGGACCACGCACACAGGAGAGAGGCCTTACGCCTGCCACCTCTGTGGTATGAGGTACAGGTTTGCTCCTAATCTCAAGGTGCACTTGCAAACTCACGATAAGGCAGCTGCTGAATCCCAACAGTGAGGTTTACCAGAAAGGTTTACGTGAATCGCATTACTCACGTTCATATCTGACACGCAGCATTCCAGGAGTTTACCTACAAATCACAACATGCTGTTTGGTTGTTGGGGTGGGATCATCATATATTTGAGAGAAGCAGCCTCTAAATGAACCCTTTAGGTCACATTTTCCTTTTTCTTCAGGTTGAAACACTTTCAATGACTTTGACTGCTTAGACCCTCTGATTAGATGTTGGCCTGTAAAACAAAGGTGACATCACAGCGTTTCACGTCTTATTTAATTCTGCAGACTTCAATCTGATTTAGCTTTCACAACCCAAATTGTAAAACTCTCCAGTGCTAGTGTCTTGCTGGGCCGATTTAGCCTCGTTGTCATCCCTCCCGACAATCCTCGGAGGAATCTGGTCTAAGATCTCGGTCTGAGCTGATGTTTGGTGCAGATTATTTGCAAATGTGAATCGTTTAAGATCCAGTCTTAAACCTCCTGAACTGCCTGCAGACTCAGGGGTCACAACGTGGATGTTTAGGAGTGAATATCTGGATGATTATCTGGGAAGCGCGTTGGTATCGAGCTGAGCCTTCAGGTTAACTTTAGCTGTAGGTAATAAAGCCTCACCTCCCCACTGTTTTCTCATTCGGACTCGTTTAGTCTTCTGCTTTAGCTCGATGCCACCTGATTTCAAAACCTGTCAGGATGTTAAAACTGGTCAGTGGGTGAGAGTGGCATCTTATTCAGAAATAATAGAAGCAGAAGAGAAACAAGGATGCTGCATGTGAAATAGTACCAGTACATCAGCTCCAAAAAAGAACCTACACAGGAACAATCCAGAGTAAACGCAAAGTCAAAGGAACATTCAGTGTATCAGAAAAATCTACAAAGAGGTTTATGTTACAGCATATATGACAGACGATCCTCGCTGATCTTCAAAGCAAAAATGATTAAAAATGCCTCTGTTTCCCCGAATACGTGATTTAATCTGTGTTGCGGTGATCATTTGAACACACAACCAGACAGACTTCTGACATTTACACACTCGAGTCCAAAAGCTCATCATCAGACAGAACTTGCTGCTCCGTCCCCTCACAATCGCACAAACACCTCTGAGATGGCGTGAACGTCCTGTTGTGATGTTTGTCTACATTTTTTTATTTTCATTTAGAATGATGGTTGGAAGAGCTTCTGTACCTGTTAGAAATGGGTTCATTAGTCCTTTAGGTTGCTGATTAGCTGATATATTGATCCAACCAGGTGAAATCAGTTTACTGTGGACCGTCAGGAACCTCTGCAGCTCTTCTCTTCATGCACTTCATGTGTGTGTTTTTACTTATTGCTGTGTGGTCAGAAGTTTCCACATGTTGGACAATAAAGTGTAAATTCACATCACAGTCGTGTGTTTCTGATCACCTGGCTGCAGCCACGTACAATACTGTTGTGCTATTTCATTGTAATTTTAGAAAGTTAAAACTGTAATTTCCTTAATCTGTGAAATGCTGTATAATTTACTGCAGCCTTCCACAGCACAAGGTGAGCTTTACTGTTAAATACTGTGACTAGACTTTCCAGTAATATACTGTATTTATATTGTGTTTCCGCTTTAATCAGCATTAAACAAAAAAATTCTCCTTTTAAAGTACAAACATGACTGTAATCTGCAGACAAACACCAGAAATCACAAGGCGTCTTTCATCTTTATCACTTAGAATTAACATTAGAACATTATAAATGAGCCCACAACTAAAACACGCAACGGACAAGACAAGTTACACTTTTATGAGTTGTTTTAAAGCTCTGTATTAAATATATTTTAGAAACCAAGGAGAGACAGTTTACCATAACGGAGAGATGGCCGATCTCCAATTAAAGCTATCGTATTCTTAGCGGCTTTAATGAAGTCTGTTTTGGTTGTTTGATTCACACAGACAGTTTTTTACAGCAGCAGGCCGTCAATGTGGTTTCTGGCTCCAAAGAAGCGTCAGATTTTACAGTCTTCACCTGTGTTTTGGAAAACTAGTCCTTTACAGAATCCCACAAAGTACAGGGCTGGAGTATTTGGTTCTACTCCAACACTGTCCACTGAGTTATGAGGTTTATATTCTGGTAAAAAGCTTCTCAATTCCTTGAAAGCTCTGAACTGCAGCCCTTTCAAATCCCAGTGAAGAAAGATTTATTCTGCAGTTTGTCCAGCAGGAGGCAGCAAAGGTCACTGGTCAGACTGCAGATGCTCACAGCTGCATGGACTCTGAGAAGAGCTTTACTTCATATTCACAGCAGAAACACCTTGAACCCTTTCATCACTGAGGTAACTTTAAAATTACACAGCAGAGAGTCTGATTAAACACCCTCACAAAGCTTCTTAACATAATACTTTACTCTTTTTTTTTTTTATCGTGTAATAGCCCAGAGAATAAGTTCTACAGCACAAATACCATCACACGCTGTCTTCAAGCCTCCCAAGTAGAACAGAACTAACATTTATTACATTATTTGTCCTTAGAGTGTATATTCCTGCATGCAAGCATTTAAATATCAGTTCATGTAAAGTGCACAGTTATCATGATCCTGCATTGAAAGAAGAAAAAAAAAACGACAAACAATATTAAAGTGTGCAGCAGACCCACTCCGTCAGAATGAGGCCAGATGATATCAGTGTTACGTTGTTGTCACGGCAAAGCAACTCCATCGTGTCCAAGGTGCCAGATTTTCAGATGTAACCTCAACTTGATTTCTAAACATGACAGAAATCTAGTTCTAATACTCTGTTGTTTACTGTGCAGCTTTAAAGTTTGGTCTGTAAATCTGTCTTCATTTGTTAGTGTTTGTAGTATTTGGAGGGAAAAAAAGGAAAAATGAGGCGGAGTTTTAATAAGGAGATAAATGATGCAGACTCAGTATGAATGTGGTGGTCGTTTAGTTCAACCGGACATCTGAGCAAGTATTTGCGCATGTGCACAACTCATGGGCATCAACTCACTAAACTAAATGAAACACTTCCTCCGTGTTAAAGCTGTGAGCCGCGGCCTGACCCAGGTCGTGTCATTACATAAGTCTGCGCACCGGACTGCGGCGGCGGCGGAGCGGCACCGCTGCGCTCCGTCTGTGTTTTGACGCTGCGCGCACAGCAGAGAGCAGCTCCGTCACGTCTAATCTGGATTAGAGTTTGCTCCAGTCTGCAGCCAGGACGCCAGTAATCACATTATTCCGTGTTGGGCTGATGCCTGCTCTGAAGCCGAGGACGGGGAGGAGGAACCGGAGATGTCAGCGCTGCGGCCGCGTCCGTCTCAGAGCCGAGCTGCTCGTTTAGATCACGTGTTCTGAGGAGTTCTGGGAGATTTCTGCAGCGAGCAGGAGCTGGGATGTGAGTGAAGTTGTGTGTATGTTTGCTGGCTGCGGTCGGGGATGTTGTGCAGCCTCCTGTGCAGCTCTGCAGCAGCAGCAGCATCACTCAGCAGCACTGCAGCCTTCACACACGCTTCTGCACAAACCGAAGCCTTCACGCTGGACTTCTCTCAACCTGTGACACTGATCGCACAGAAGCAGCTGCTCAGACATGGCTCAGGCAGGTAAGCACTCGTGTTTTTACTCACTGCAACAGCATTTGTTTTCAAAAACTGCAGGTCAGAATGAAGAAATCTCACACTGACTGACGTGTAAAGAGGATTTGAGAGGGAGAAGAAAGTTTAAAGGAGGCTTATTTGATTCCTCCCTGGAGATATTATCTTAATGATGTGCTGAGATGACGTCCAGCTCCACTAACACTGACCATAGGATACCCAAACAAACAGCAGCTGATGCCAAATAGGTCAGTGATCAGGGTCAAACGGTGGCTTGAGGATTGGGCAGAGGGTGCAAATCAGGCGGCTGTGAGTGTGAGGCTGCATCCACACAGACACCAATGTCCTCTTAGACAGAAATAAATCATATTCTGCATCCGTTCTATCTCATTGTCCTCCTTAATCCAGGATGGAAAGAGGAGGCCGGAGCGGAAAGACATCATATTTTGGCACGATTGGAAACCGTGCTGACGTCAGGGATAAATGTGGGATTTTGTGCATCATTTCTGCGTCCCCGGTTTAATCCACTCTAACGGATCTGTTACCGTCTAGTCACCAATTGATTCCCACTGTCCCAGATCTGATATGACTTCCATTTGTGCCACTTTGATAAGCACCTCAACATAAAGTCGATTGAGGACAAACTGTCAGCCACACAAATACCTCCGTCCAAAAAAATATTCTGGTTCCAGATTCAGTTGAACCTGATTAGTGATGGGCCTGGAGTCTAATATGTCGAACGTTACCAACACCGCGTTGTCATGGTGTCAGAAAAAGCCTCGAGACGACACATTCACTCAGTTAATTAGTTTGCTGATTAACATCATTTTCTTTCTCTCTTTTTTAAAAAAAAGGTCAAACATTCTTTCAAATGAAACAATTTTCAGTTTGTTTTACGTTGTATCAGATTGCAAACTGATTTTTGGACCAAATTAAACTGTAATGGAGAATTCTTTCACTATTTTTTCATATTTCATGTGTGATGAACCAATAGCCAGTGGAGAACATGATCAGTAATAATAGTCATGGATGAGAGACCAGCACGAGGCACCTCATTTACTGAACATAAAGAGGAATAACGGCTCCACTAAAGCACCAGGTCCAGACTCCCCCCTGCAGTCATGTGTCCGTCCTCTTACTCCTGACTGGAGAGCTGCCAGATCCCGGCTGCCTCCGTATTCCTCTGAGCAGCAGAGGTTTTCCGCTCGCTGTCAGCACCAACTGATCCAAATTGACTCCCGAGTAGAAATTGATCAGGGGAATGCAGGACTGTCTGGAGCAGCTTAAGCGCTGTCGGAGCAGCACTTTTGGTTAATTAGATTGACAAACAGCCCAGCAGCAGGTCGGTGCTAAAATTAAAACCTCGGCCTTGTGAACAGTGTGCAGGGCGAGATGAGACTAAAGCAAGTTTAAAATGTGTGAACAACGTGGCAACAAATTGTCATTTCAGGCCCTGAAAACTGGTTTAATCCCAGTCAGAGATAGAATTCATAGAATACAGCGCCAGTCAGTGCTCAAGTGACTTACTGGTGCTTTTATGAATAACATGCACCCATCAAGAGGCAGGAACATTCTTTTTTTTTTGACAGTGATGCTCTTAAAGGGCCTGCGTCCTCAGTGGATGATGCAGTTTAACATCTGACTGCTGTTGGTCACCTCGCTGTGCTGCACTTGTTCTGTGAGCAGCTGTTAACATGTGAAACTGAAAACCCACGCTGAAATGTAATTTGTGTCCCAGGCGTCTTCATTTCCTGTCATAAAATCCTCTTAAATATGGAGGATTACAGTTGGTTTGCTCCCAGTTTGGACCGTACTGTGGCTGTGTTGACTGTCAGTGAATCATTTTGTGGAGAGCCGGCCGTGAAAGGTTCCTTATAGATCCATATGCTCTCAAACCAGTGATTTCCTGTGGGAGCGTCCCATCGTTCTGCTTCTGAAGGCGTAATGGACAGCACGTCTTCACGTTCATTATCCACGAGAGGCGATGCCATCACAGCTGTTTTCTCTCGTGTTTCACTTCAATCAGAACTTTGGATGTGATTGAAGAGTTGCTGTTTTAGTCCTTGAACCATTTTAGAAAATTTGTGGCAAGAAGAGAAAACTGTTGTTGTTCTGAGCATCTTCCTTAAATTAAGGTGTCAAACAGCTCAGTGGATCATAACTAATAGATCGCTTCATGGCCGGATCGTTGCATCTAATTTAGGATTAGTTGCATCTCACTGCTAATGACTCCTTTCCAGAAACAAAGAAGTCATCCGGCCCTATCCGCTCTCACACTCAGACTGGATGCGAACTGACAGCACAAAGTGAATCGGTTCCCCGTTTGCCTGCAGCAGTTCTGGACAAAGTTGCATAGGGGATTAGAAAGAAAGGCCAAGAAGAGAATGTGGAAAGAAAATCAGAAAGGTTCTGAGGTGAGAAGGAAGCAGAAAGAAGGTCAGAGCAGCAGAGGCTGGAGGTTAAACGTTTGACTGAAGCTGCTAAAATAACTACTTTTCTTTTTCCTCACTTCACTTCTAGCGTCCAGCATGATGGACAACACGCTGCTTGAGAAGGATGCTCCAAGTCTCCATGTGTCAGCAGACAGCGGCTCCATTTCTTTAATCAGATTCACTTCTTAGCTACTGGTTGACGACCATCATGGAGGAGAGCAAGCTCATCTTCAGCCTGGACCGCCACGACGAAGGTCCGTCTGTGGCATTTTCCAAAGACAAACCACCAACCGGTCGACCTGACATGGGGATCAATCTGGACCTGATCCAGGGCCACCGCTCACAGCCTCCCTTCCTGCCTCACTCCCCCTCATCCCCAGGCTCTTTGGCCGATCTGTCAGCATCATCAGCAGACCCGCTCGTCACCACCAACCTGGTCAAGTCCTCCTCCACCGACCTGGAGCCGCGGGAGAGCAGCTCTCTGAGGGGAAAGCCTCTCCTGAGTCTGGTCAAGTCCCTCAGCACGGAGATCTCCCGCCGAGTTGAGCCCGAGGTCAACCTCTCCAAGTCCGATTCCAAGCTGCATCTGCATCCCTGGAAGCAGCTCACGCATCCAAAGATCCCTGAGGCCAGGCCTGAAGCAGGAGCGCTGGGTGAGAGTGACGACTGGGTGTCGCCTCCCTCCACGGGGAGCATGTCGCCCACCGAGCCCCGGGGCAGCTCGCTGATCGCCGAGCTGGAGGACACACGGAGGAAGTTCTCTGAGGCCATGCAGGATCCTCTCAGCATGCTCAGTAAGATTATGGGGGACGAAAGCCCCAAGCAGGGGAGGGCTTCTGGTGCAGGAGACTCTCCAGCCTCCCAGGGCAGCTGTGGAAGAGACGGAGGCAGCGAAGATTCAGAGCCAAAGTGCCGCCGGAGAACGGACAGCGAGCTCAGAGGAGCGTGTGAAAGTCCCCTCAGAAGACTCCAGAAGGACTCGCTGATCAAATCCTTTCCAGAGCGACACAGCCACAGCAGGGACAGCCATTTGGAAATCTGCACCTATGGGGACATGATTCAGGTGGTGGAGCTCCAGAGTGCATCCAGAGGGGCACCTCACAGAACTTACCCCCCGTCTCGAGTCACGGTGCCGGGGTCAGCATTGCCTCTTCACTGGCTCTTCCCTGTGGGACTTCTGGCTTACGGGTTCTTCGTTCTGCCGCTGCCCTCCTACGTGACGGGTCTGTCTGTTGGGGTTGCATGTGGCTTCATTCTGGGCCTGGTGGTCGTGTTCATGTTTGCTCCGCGACGCTCTGCTGCCAGAAGCAACCGGGACTCTCGCCTGAACAAATCCAACCCCATGAACATGGATCCACTGGATGGAAAACTCAGAGACTCAGAAATCCTCGAGGTAATGAATTAGTAAAATTCCTGAATACATGATAAGTTGCTCCTTAACATTTTTAAATAAGGAACCAGTGCATATCTGCACAGGGTTGTTGTCCCTCTGAGCCGAGCCATCCACCAGTAGAGGCAGGAGCGTCCTTACTGCTGCCACTTTACCTGTTATTGACCAAATATCAGCAAAACTTTTGCAATTTCCATCACCTGTAAATAATGTCAATTCGCAAATGTTAGCATGCTAACTACATTTGTTTAGAATTCACTGACAAGATAAAAAGGTGTCATGATAATAAGGTAAAGTCAGTAATATTGTAGATGAGGCTTCCGCACTTCAGTGTATTCCCATCCATGTTATCTATTTAAAAGTCTGCCAACGATGCACAATTGATCGTATCTTCAAACTATAAAAATAGAATAAAATGTTGGATTTTCAACTACATTTCATATATGACAGGTTTAAGGATTGTAATCTTAAAATGTAATCAAAATCACTTTATTCTACATGTCTCGTTTAAAAAGTGGGCAAAAATAAACGGTTTGCACAAACCAAATTTTGTAGAAGTCTAGAAATTCTCCACTTCTCAGCACAACCGTGAAGCCATCAGTGACTCAGCTGCAGCCAACAGTCACAAATTCAGAGAATCTTTTGTTGAACTTGTCTAAACTGCAGGTTGTGTTTACAGAGCAGATGGGCATGAAAACAAATGAATTATGTGTGTAGTAAAATATCTACAGTACGTAGTATTTTGTCACCATTTCTTTCAGCATTGCGAACACCTGTAGGTACCGGGAAAAAGGTTGGACATGTTGTAAAACACATTTCCTTTTGGCCATAAATCCTTTAGAGATTGATGGCATCACTACATGAATATAGTCCACAGAAGATGTTTTTTTGAGTTCTCTCTCTCGCTGTTTCCAGGACTTTATATTGCAGTGAAAAATGAGCCAACAGTGAGTAAAACTGTCACAGGAGCTAGAAATGAGGCTCACAGAGTTAAACAAAAGTTGGAATGGTGCTGCAGGCAGAGATGATGGTGAACATTACACCACCCAGACATCAACATGTTAGCGATGTCACTGTGAACATGTTAGTCTGCTTTCATTAGGATTTATCTCATGTACAGCCTCACAGAACCACCAGCATGAATTTACTCTCTCTAGTCTTGTTCTGTATGCAGAGAAATGTCTGCAGCTGCTCCACAACACTCCCTGTTACACATTTGGCTGTATGGAAATGAGCTTCAGGCTCCAGCGTTTGTTTGGGAGGCTGACAGATGAGAACAACAAGCAGCAGCAGCAGCAGCTATATGAGGCTCTGGAAAGCACTAAAGAAACAAAGTGCTATCACTGGTGCCTAATGGATTAGTTTTGAGGTAATTGCTGTTTAAAAAACTGCCGTCGGGCTCAGCGGCTTCATCATCAAAGACACGGTCATTCCAATAGCAGCTTCCTCAAAGCGCTTCCTGACAGCTCTGCTGAGAGCTGGCCTGCTGTCAGCAAACGCAGAGTTAGCGAGATCAAGTAAGGTGACGTTTATGAGGACAGAGGAGCGACTCAGGCGTCCTGCAGGCTGCTCAGACACACCCTCAGGCTCTAATGAGACAGATGTACTCTGCCACAGCTCATGTTTCCTCTCCTGCTGAGCTGGTCTGTCACAGTTGGCACCGCTCGCTGTGGATAAAACCTGCCTCAGCACAATCTCTGTTTAATTGTAGATAATAACACTTCAATGTAGCTCAACTGTAAGAGGAAAATGTGAAGTGATTTGTGACTGACAAGCGATAATTTCATCTTTCTGAATGAAACTCATTATTCCCTTTCAGGGCTGGATGAATGAGACTCACAGCTACGACCCTGAGACCTTCCATCCCTCCATCACACACTCTGTCTTTGTGACGCTGGAGGGCAGCCAGCTGCGCCTGGCTTACCCACGTGCCAACATCCCCCGGTGGGCAGCTTTCGACGAGACGCCCCACGAGGCCGTGTTCTTGCATTCACGCATTTACCAGCTGACTAACTGTAAGGTCAGTGTGTCTGCGGACAAATACTGTCATTTGTTAGTGCCAAGGGAGCCGTCGTGTCCCTCCGAGGCGAGCAGAAGAGAAAGCAGAGATGACCTCTCAGCTGAACTCTTCTCTCATCCCTCTGCACCCACGATGTCATTTAACACGGAGGTGAAAGAAGGATTATGCCTGAGGTGATGATGCACTGAATGAACTCGACCCCTCTGTTGTCCCGTTTGCACACTGAGGCAGCAGCTTCCAATATGGCAGCAGAATAAAGCCAACACACAGTCTAATCAATGAGAGGGTGGTGGTGCAGACAGGAGTGAACTGTCAACACAGTTTCTGCCTGCAAAAGCAAGTTTCATTTATGCTGATTTTTTTTTACCCAGGTGTCTTTGGTGCCTCCTGGTTTGGCTCGTAAGAGAGTCTGGAACAAGAAGTACCCCATCTGCATCACTCTGGCTGAGGGGGAGGTGGGGGAGGAGAGCCTGTTCGAAGGGCACGAGGAGGAGGAGAGGGCGGTAAAAGAGACGATCCTGGACTACCAGCTTCCTCTCACCCTCTACCTGTTCGGCCGTACAGGCAGAGAAAAAGAGGAGTGGTTCCAGCACTTCCAGTCTGCTTCCAGGGGCGGAGGCCAGAGCAGCGTGAGCGGTGAGGAGAACATCGGTAAGAAGATTCACAGTGATCTCCAACCATTCAGCTGATGAAAATACAGCATGCAGACTGGAAATATTGTTTTAAACATGCATATAAAGGCTGCTAAGTGAACACAACTGGTACAGGACTCAGATTCTTTCAGCTACATGCTCACTGACGTTATGCTTCTTCCACTCAGACACGCTGTGCGGTGCCGAGGTGCTTAAAGAAAACACGGAGGAGCTGCCCGACCTGCCAGGAGCAATAAAAACCAGAACCCTGTTGGACTACAGCACCTACATGACTCAACTGATTGGCTCAGAAAGCTGCAACCCCACGCCCAGCCCCTGCCACAGCGACAAGGAAAGCCCGACAAGCTGCCAGAAGGTCAGTGAGCAACGCTTTGATTCAGCATCACGCAAACTCTCCGCCATTGTTTCTCAGGTTTCATTTGGAGCTCTACATTATGAGCAGATATCACGATGTTGTTTCAGCTGTGTTTGCCCTTTGCGTGTCATGCCCATGTTGTACACAGCTGCCATTGATCACAGCTGGTCAATATCAGCTACTGTTCCATCGTTGTGCTGCGCCTCGCCCAGGATGCTGCCTCAGCTCAACGCATCCTTGCTGAATAGACCATTGTCCAGAAATATCAGATGTCACCTGGCTGGAAGAATATTTATAGTAACTGGTGCATCTGCAGAATATCTGACTGGGCTGATAATTCTGGCTTTGGGTGTTTGGCATCGGCACCCCACTTAGAGACAGTCTGTCTCGGTGTTTGGATGAGATGGTGCAGAATCAGCGTTAGAGTCACGAACGTCGGGCTTGATTATAGATTATAGCAAGAATTTGTATCTTGCATCTCAGTCCTTTAACCTCTTGTGCAAACATGCCCTCCCTGCAGGTTAACAGTGAAGAGCATGGTTCTGGGGGTCCAGTCGGAGCTGAGCCTAGTGCAGGAACTGGGCCGGGTGGATGCTCTGCAGAGGGACAGTCCGCCTGGGTCAACTCCCTGGTGGGCAGGATTTTCTGGGACTTTCTCCGGGAGAAGTACTGGACCGATCAGGTGGCGCACAAGATCCAGAAGAAGCTCAGCAAAATTAAGGTGAGTCTGGAGGAGAATGTGTACGGTTCTGATATGGAAACAGCATGTAGGAAATTAAAGATGTTGCTCAGGATTAACAAATACAGAATTCCTTGATTGAGCTTTGCTGAGACGACGCGGCTCCTTTAAGAGCCGACTGAACTGTAGGTCAGAGCTCTGAAACTGTGTCAATGAATGCAACAACCAGATCACCAGCTGTGGTTTGTCCACAAGGTCAGAGGACATGGCAGCCCTCCTCAGTGTGTGTGTGTGTGTGTGTGTGTGTGTGTGCTGGAGAGTCTGCTGATGAGGCACTCTCTCTGCTCCCCAAAGGCAGGAGGTGGGAGGGAGCAGAGCAGCATCCCATTACTCATTCACTCCTCCATAACACACACCGTCCTCTTTGCTCTCCTTCACACACACTGCTGGTTGCTCATTTGTTTGAGATAATTAGCGGCCACTAAAGCACTAAAAGTCTCCGTTTGTCTCCCTACAGTTGCCATACTTCATGAATGAGCTGACTCTGGCTGATCTGGACATGGGTACCTGCCTTCCCCAGGTCCTCAGCACATCCAAACCCACACTGGACAGCAGAGGTACAGCGCTCGCACTCATATGTCAATCTAGTGCTTTTTTTTTATCGTACTACACAGCAGGAGCAGTCACAGATAACTCAGCAGGCTCCGCTCAGATCTCTCTCAGTCCTGCACTCAGTTCAGGCCGTGATCTCATTAGTTTTATTACAGGGTTAGTCGTACCCGCCCTCAAAGCTTTCCATTGTCTCCTCCTGAAGCGATTAGCAATCCTCTTAGCTTTGACTAAGCTCAACCAATAATAACATGCTAACGCTGTCCTCTGCTGGTCTTATGGTCCTTCTGAAACAACATTGTGCTGGGCCAGATCAAGAAGAGATGTTATGGCTCAGCCTCTAAACCAAACTCAGGGTTTAGATCATTAGAAAGAAATCTGCTGCTGCTGCTGCGAGCCGTTCCTGTCTTTCCCCTTAACCCCTCTGCTCCTTCATCTCCAAGGCCTGTGGCTGGAGCTGGAGCTGGTGTACACGGGCTGCCTTCAGATGACCCTGGAGACCAAGATGAACCTCTGTAAGCTGGGTAAAGAGGGCGAGGATGAGGCTCACACTGTTCCAGAGACCCAGCTAATGGGGTGAGGCCATGTTCCTCTGGAGATAAAGAGGAGCACTGTTGCACACATGCATGAGGAGAAACTCGGTTTTCTAAGCTCAGCAGTTTGCAGTAACGAGTGCCACTGTTGTGTTTTGCAGCAGTAAGCCGCGGCTGTGCATACTGGCTGATAGTGATGAAGAGTCCTCCAGCGCGGGGTCGTCTGATGAAGAGGATGTTCCCATAACCGAGCCTCAGGCGTCTCTGGGCGATAAGAGCACAGCGGCAGCAGCTGACGGGTAAATTAAAAACTTAATTGGAAGATCATGCTACAGAGATAAATACATCAGAGGTTATGAAACCGTGATGCTGACGTTATGTAACAGCAGCCATTTAAAATTCACGTCTTGCCCAACACAGGTGTGCATGACGCTGATAGTTCATGCACTGCTATCATCTGTGGAATGAGGGCATGAAGTTCACCTGTCAGTTTCCTGCTGTGAGGAGTCAGAATGTCTGCTGTGAAACAGCTTTATGAGCCTGATTCAGTTTGGGAAGAGCAATGAAGCAACTCAGACGATGGCAAAGTCATCACAGAAAACAGAAAGTGAAACAAGGAGTTAAATACAAGATGAAGGAATGAAAATGAAAACATCGAATCAGCATATCAGCTAAATCTAAACATTAGGAAGCTCTAGCTGTTGAGTCTTTTGTGTGTAAAAACTCTGGTATCAGGCAAAGTGTTGATGCCATTTTCATGCACACAGCAGAGACATATATGTGAAAAGAAATGTGCAGTACGGCAAACCAATGCACACGTTGTTAAGAAGATGGATGTCGGTGTTCTGAGCAGCGAGTCTCCAGTTCAGCTCCCAGTTGGTGAAACCATTTGCTGCATGTCATTTCCCTGGTGTCTCTCCCCATGTTGCCTTTCTCTCTCCAGTGCATCTACTGAATAATGGCAGAATGGCACAAACCTAATAACCTGTCCCCCTGATGAGGACTCTCCAGAGTGTTCATACATTTTAATATTTAAAGTCGAAGCGCCTCAGACACTCTTTGGACTGCTGACCAATGCAAAAGTGAGACACTTTCCTTTTTGCCCACAGGTCCAATCCTTGAAGAGCACCTGAATTTGTTTTTAAACTACCAACACCATTGTTCTTGACCCAGTGCAGCGCTCCCTGTTGTTTCTTCTTTGATGTGAAGTTCATGGTCTTGATTTCATTTCAGTAAAATTCTACCCGTCACTTTTGAGTTTTCTCCAGTTTTGGCACTGGTCAGTAGAACACGGTCAAAATCCATCAAGACAGTTGTGTCATTTTTTAGCTTCACAAATAAACAAGTTTGTGAATCACTCACTTACATAAAATTAAAAAAACGAAACATGTCACTTTGGGTATTCGCATTAAATATGACTTTACCAATCAAAGAGCCATCGTTAATAAGACAACAATGTGAAGACTTTGATGGCTGATGGAAACCAACGACTGTCACCACATCGCTAGTCGCAGCACGTGATGCATGCTGCAGAGTTTTTCATTAATTATTGTTTTTGTGAGATCAAAGAGATCTCTTAACCGAGCTGCAGACGAGAACCTGAAAACACAATGAACATGCAAACTGATGTCTCTTTAGACATATTCATGGACTGATCTTCCATTAGTAAGAATCGTGCGTGCACTATGAAGCATGGGAACCAGAGTTGACCTTAACAAGTAGTACAAACACATCCCACCACCAGCAACGAGAGACAAATATATCACTTACATGTGACCTCTGGTCCTCCACAGGCACACGGGCAGCAGCACAAGTAGGAAGATCCTGAGGTTTGTGGACAAGATAGCGAAGTCCAAGTACTTCCAGAAGGCGACAGAGAACGAGTACATCAAGAAGAAGATCGCCGAGGTCTCCAACATGCCCCTGATGCTCAGCGTCGAGGTCCTGGAGCTTTCTGGAACTCTGGCCGTCAACATCCCTCCTCCTCCTACAGACAGGATATGGTACTTGCTCTCTTTGACATATCCATATAGAAAGTTTTTTTTTTCCATTTGCTGCTTTGCTTGTTTCTTCACTAACAGGTGTCTCTCTCAGGTACAGTTTCCGGGTGCCTCCCAGGTTAGACCTCCACGTGCGTCCCATGCTGGGAGAGAGGGAGGTCACCCTCACCCACGTCACCGAGTGGATCGAGAAGAAACTGCAGTGCGAGTTCCAGGTTAGTTCATCTGTTTGCAGGAGCAGGTTGTGCATATCAAAAGGCGAGTTTTAATCCAAAAGACTGAGTTCAGATGAGTCAAAAACACACAGAGAGCTGGCAAACCAGAAATATCCCAAAGTGCAGGAACACACTAAAGCAGGGGTGTCGAACTGCGGTCCTCGAGGGCCGCAATCCTGCATGTTTTAGATGTT